GGAAGTTAGGGCAGGTGATCACAGCAAAACCATATACGTACAAGTTTGCCATCAGACAACACTGATATATATACAAATTAATTTATTTAAGGGTTATTTTGCAAGATTTTTATTTTGCCTATTTATCTGACCCATCTGCATTTTTCTTTACAGTATTCACTTTAAAAGTCAAGAGTGTCTTACTTTAACTGGAAGGTAAATTGGCAAACACTCTTTTTTAAGACTAATATATTTCACACAATCTCAATGAAGGAATTCACAGAATTGGTTTACCAATGCATAAAAACATTAAGTCTTTTTATAAATAAGCAACATCAAGCTGAAATGGATTGAAGTAAGTCGGTTGAGATTGTTGGTAAAATGTCTTGATGTGAGGTCACACTAGATTTTTCTAGCCCTTCAGGTCATCTGCTTACAGTAATTATAAAACCTTGTTTTTTGTAGCTTGTGCCATTATCCTCAATAATTTTTCCATTTTAATTTTTTAATATCTTGTCAGCAGAACAGAGATAATATCTAGAGTAAATAAAATTTGAATGGGCTGTAGACAAAATGGGAACAATAGTCATTTTGAGAGTTGAAGCATTGGGAGTAGACACAATGGGATGTTACCATATAATATACAGTACAGTAAGCCCTTGTTATTCACAGGGGATAGGTTCCAAGGAATGGCGCAAACAGGCAAAACTGCGAATAGCAACTTATACTATCTTAGTGCATTACTGTATACCTATACCAAACAACCGACCAGCTGCGGCAGCACTAAACCATCTGTGAGAGAGTTACTACACTACGTGTCTGCTGTTCAACACTTTAGCGTACATGATCTACGTGACCTCCACTGTATACATTAATCTGTATGTTCACTGTATGTTCTTTTACCTTTCTCTAATGAAGGCTTTTGTTAAACCACCAATGTCAATGTATGTTTTATGTCATTATGTCCAATGTATATTTTCAGCCTTCGGGCTGCAGAACTTTTTCAATAAACCGTTAATTATTATTATTATTATTACAGTCTCTCCTCGACTTAGACATATTCGACTTACTTCAACCCGGACAAACGACGACCATGGTCGTATAAAATATTTTTCACATTACGTATTTACGAGTCCCGACGTTAGTGATCGCGCTGCGTACTGACAAAACTTTCGTTTGTAATTCCCTTTAAAATGGCTGGCAAGAGTAAAAGTGAAAATTCTCGTGGTGCTGAGAAGAAAAAGAGACACCTATTTTAGAATTTCTATGTATTATTTTTGCCTTTTAGACTTATGACCAATTCAACTTACAACCTGGTCATCGGGACGGAACCCCGTCGTAAGTCGAGGAGAGACTGTATTTATTAAAGTTTGTGGAGTGGAGATAGCTGAAGTGTCTATAATAAGCAGGCTCAGTATTTGGGTATTCCATTCAATGCTAGTGATGGTTGGCTGTGGAGGTTCCAGAATCGACATGGCATACGTAACAAGAAGTTGCATGGTTAGGCTGGGACTGCTCAAACCAAAGAAGTTGAGCTGTTTAAGCAGAAGTTAAACCAACTAATCAAAGACGAGGGAATGATCTTGGCACAAGTTTAAAATGCTGATGAGACAGGGTTATTTTGGTGGTCACTCCACAACAACACCCAAGCCTTTAATCATGAAGCATCCACACCAGGCCACAAGGTGAGTAAGGGGTGCATTTCTGCATTATGCTCTGCTAATGCTAATGGTATGCACCACGTAAAGTTAGCTGTCGTTGACAAGTCTATGCGCCCACGAGTACTAAAGGATTGTATGTGCCAGTTGCCAGTTATTTACTACCATTTCAAGAATGCATGATTTAATCATGAGATCTTCAATGACTGGTTTTTTAAGCACTCCATCCATAATGTACACAAATACCAACAAGAAGTTTTGAAGCTGGATTCTGAAGGTATCAAAGCAATTCTGCTGATTGATAATGTACCAGCTCATCCTAGTGCTGAGAAACTGGTCAATAGTGATGGCAAAATTTGTGCCCTGTTTCTGCCACCCAACACTACATCCATTATTCAGCCTATGGACCAGGGAGTTATTGTGTCATGCAAGAGGAGGTACCTGGATGAAGTGCTGGTAGTGCTGGAGGACGAAGATGATGATGTGAATGACACAAGAGGGCAACATACATTAACCAACATCAATACAATTTGAAATCAGCCATATTTAACTTTGCTGCTTCATGGAAGGACGTCAAGATATCCACCTTAGCTAACTGCTGGAAGAAACTTCTGCTTGATACCGAGCCTGAACTCGAGTTTGGGGGATTTGAGGTAACGGATTTTCATCAAATGTTACACCTTGGTGGAGAGAACAATATAATTACGGAGGATGTGGAGACATGGTTGGAGGAGAATGAGGGTGATCCAGGTTACCAGATGCTTTCATCTGAGGAGATTGCCGATGCTGTCTGCACTGTTGACAAAGAGAATGATGATGTGGAGAACAGTGACAGAGAGGAGTCGTGTGTGAAGATGTCAAACGTTAAGTTGTCTGTTGTACAAGAGTCTGTCAACAACATCTTAACTTATATTGACAACACATCCAGTCCTCAAATGCACCAGTATTATGAACACTTTTGGACTTTTAGAGAACTTATTATCAGGAAACAATACAATGCAGGGTAGCAATTTAAGCTGGACTCCTCCTTCATGCCTGTTACTCGTGCCCCTCCTGCCTCCCAGCCAAGCCAAGCCGAGGAGCATCCCTGTTCCTCTGACTTGGAATAATAAGTGGTTCTCAGTCCCCACTATACGATCATGGCAACACAAACTCATCTATCCACTGCATAGGGTAAGTGAAACTACATTGGTACTGTATTTTTGGTGTTTCTTATATCACACATTATTCACCGGAAGATTCGGACAAAAGGCTTTTTCGGACAGGTAGTCCCCCCTTTTAGTCCAGATCTTCGAGGGTTCACTGTACCGTACCAGCCTAATCCATTATTAGGAGGATTCCCATTTTTTATGTTTGTGAAGGTTAGCTGCAATTACCTAATGGCAGCTCTCCATGTTGCAAGGCTCATGCACCTCTTGACCCAATTGGTCTCATACAATCTCTACAAATACCCTTACCACCTCAGCCTGCCTTCATGCAGAACTTTGTCAGTGACTAGTGCATTTATTTATGCCACAGTTAAGGAATAACATGTTAGTTTTTTAATCTTGACCTGATTGACATATGCACTGACTTGACTGACCTGTGATATTACATTGTTGTATTGGCACTAGTCACTGACATGCTGGTCAGTAATATCAGCACCAACACAATACCACATTGTCACTTGTCAGGTCAGAGCAAGTATCAGTCAACCTTCGTAAATTGGGGATTTGCTGTCACTAGCTGGCTTACCATCTCTCTTGAGCTACCAAGCTTGAATTTTCATTGCCTCAGCCTGAATCATTAGAGCTCTCAGTGCAGCTTTATATCGTTGCATACTCAATATCCAAATCTTCAAAGCTGCCTCCATTTCATGGTACAGTGGTGGCCTTAAGCCCCGGGTTAGGGTGCTGCTGGCAGTACCTCCCCTGCGGGGTTAAATCGAGAAAAAACCAAGTTTTCCAAAAATAAAAATAAATAAATAAAAATAAATAAATAAATAAAAATATAAAATAAAAATGGCGGGAAAATAGGCGGACGTTCGGGAACGTCACCCGGGGCCTAAGGGTTAAATGCTTGATAGTTTTGGACATGGATGACTGTGCATATGCTGCATGGATTTGGTCACCCTTCAGTCAAATGCTGTGAACCATCCTTTCACTTACTCCACTTCAGCATGCCATAACTGACACTCTTTATAGTTAAGTTCATCCAAGATTTGAACTTTCTTGTCTAAATAAAATGTATTTCTCTTATTTTTCTCAACTGAACTGGAAGGATAAGCAGCTGCTGAGCATTTAGACTTCTTGGTAAGTGCAGGAATAGCAGGAGTATGAGGAAGTGTCCTTGACTTTAGGTGAGCACTGGGTGAATGACACCAGGACTGCAGCTTGGAAAGAGTACATGTGGTAGCTGTATCAGCCTAGGTTTTCTTGCAATATATAGGAAAATGGGAGTACATGTACCTGTATTGTAATTTAGGTAACCTCAAAATAAAAAAAATGCTAAATAGCTCAAGGCTGCTGTATGTCCAAGTGTTTCAAAATTCTGCAGCATCAACAAATCAAATATAAATAAGTCTTGGCTAAAATTATTTCTTCAAATAAATGATTTTTTTTATTGCCAACTGCAAATGTTCCAAAGGTTAAATAAAATCTGTCCTGAGGCACAAGTTATATAACTGTAAATGAATGACTCAGCAGCATACCCGGTGCATACATTACGTACATTTTTTTGGTTGCATGGTTGAGTCCATTGCGGACTCATAATCTTTTAAAAAAAATTCTTTTGGAATAGAAAGGTCCATTACTGTACAATACAGTACACCATGTATCTACTAACTATACAAGTTTCTAAACTTTTGTTTAATACTAAACACTGTTTCCTGCATAATGCAATGTGACATGAATCAAGAGCAACACAAACTGTTATTCAACATTTAAGCAGCTGCATTATTAAATACACTGTATTTATTTATAATGGTGTTCCCTTCAAGACAAAGTTTCCATCAGATGAGATTCCCCCTTCTATGTAGCAGTGACAGAAGACCAAATGAAAGCATTCTTCAATTTAAAAAAATAAAATAAAAAATAAATACATTACTGTTCAATATTCAAGGTGTTCTGTTTAGGGACCAAAGCATTTACAAAACATCTAATCTACAGTAAATATAGGATAAAGCTTGAACATTATAAACTGACAGACATACATTCATACTGTACATATAGAATTCTGTTTACCTTCTAGTTGTAGTTTGTGTTAACCTATGTTTTGGATTTTAAACAAAAGACAAACTTATTTGCCTATAAAATCCTGTCCTCTACTAATGGTTTTAATTTGGTTCTCTTATAAACCCAAAAAACAAATAAACATATCACTAACATGGAGGTGGAGGCATGGGCACCTTGAGCAGGTGTAAGGCCAGCTGTGTTAGGGGTGGTGAGGAGTTGCTCAGCACCAGGGTACACTATCGTCCAACACACACCCGACACACCCCCTGTGACTGCTGAGTGTAGCACTGTGTTGCCCTCATTGTCCAACTTTGTGCGATTCACTCTGTTAAAATATGATTCTGTTGTCACGGTTGTCCACTCCTGACGAGAAGTAAGTATTAAAAGAATTATTTGTTCTATCAATGTTCCAGTTAAATCATAATAAAAACTATTTTAGTAATTTTTTAACCTACCACATTATGTCAACCTAATAGAAGTTACAAAAAAAAAACTAATACTGTATAATTACTTTCAGTTCAAGAGTTCAGTTACATGCATGTGTCCATTCTTCCTCACCATTATTATGTACTGTAAAGTTCTATACAGGTAATATAACTACAGCATATTCAAAAGAAAATTTGATCCAAAATTATATTTTTCAAGATCATATGTCTACTATAGCAGTTCAACAATGATAGGAAACTCGTTACCCCAAACAACCTAACTTAGTATACACACTGAATTACTATGGAGCAATGTTGAGATCAAGATCACTTTGTACACTACATACAAGAGTTGGTAAGAGGAGGAGGAAAAAGTGGAGTATTTCTCATTGTTGTTTCAGCCCTTTCTTGTTACTTCCTAGTGCCTACATTTATCCTTCACGACCATTTAGCTCCTCTACATTGTATACACAGACAGACCAAAGATTCTGCCTCATTTCAATAAAAAAAATTACATAAACTATCAGTTAATCATATTCATTACATTATTTAAATATAATTTGGGGCAATCTTTGGCAATCTAAGTATAACAATCAGTATGCTGTACATGAACACAAACTACTAACTTTTTGCTTTGTACAAGATACTGCACGAGGCCAAGGTGTCCACATGCAGCAGCAATGTGAAGGGGGGAGCAGCCACGATTTTCCTCTGCTTCTAAATTGACCTCACAAACTTCTGCTAGGTATTGCACAAGAACCCTAAAAGTAAATATATATATTGTATGTACAGTGTATATACCCCTGTATATTATTTTTTTATATATAAAATTTACAAATAAATGTGCATACATGTATTTTACTATGTGCTACATATTTTCAATGATATGCATTTTTTCCTATCAAGTAAATTTCACAAGTTCCAACCCCTACATAATACAGTATAGAATTGCATATAGAAATATAAGAAACCCTTTCAAATAGTACAAAGTACAATCCTACATTGATCCAGCAATCGCTGCACAGTGTATGGCTACTCTTCCTGCTCCGTCAACAACCATAGGATCCCCTCCATGTTTGAGCAGTGTCACAACCACATTAAGTAGTCCTCTGCAACAAGCTATATGTACAGCTGTCTCACCTGAAATAATGATAATACTCACATGAACACTTTATATGTGCCTACAATGTTTTTTAGGCATGGTCATACTAGGGAGTACAACCCCATAATCAGAAGTCTAATCACACTCAAATCTAAATGAGCAGCATTTCATAATCTATACTACTGCATTGAGTACCAGTAATGATTGACTGATTGATTGGGTAAAATATCTGGAGTTGCAGCCTGCGGCCATTTGATGCTGAAAAGGAAACTTATAATTTAAAACTACAATATAAGTAAAATATAATCCTATTAAGTTTAAATATCAAAATTAAAATACAGTACAGTAAACCCTCGAAGATCAGGACCCGGGAAGTTCTGTAAGAAGCATTCCCAAACCAGAGCAAAGAACATTTTAGGTGCGTGGGCGCTGCTTGACCTGTCAGTTGCTTGGACACAGGTGCCCGAGGAGGTGGGAAACATAAACAGAGTTGACAATTGTTGTTTGTGGGAATATTATTTCATTCACTCTAGTAAAGATACAATGTTTCTTAATATGTTATCATAGGTAAATGCATGGTTTATATATGGCAATTTGTTTATCACTACATTAGTACTGTATTTTTGGTGTTTCTTATATCATTTATTATTCGCCGGAAAATCCAGATAATCGACTTTTCCGGACAGGTGATCCCCCCCTTTTAGTCCGGATCTTCGAGGGTTCACTGTAATATAAAAATCTGTATTTATTTAAAATTACCAGTAGGTACTTTTATTGCAATTAAAAATTTAAAAAGACCACCATCAGCAACTGAACCTCTCTCGCCGAGCACCTTTGAGAATGGAGAAAGATCCATCCTCCTGCCGGCACTCAGCCAACAAACGACTCCTCGAGTCCCCATGACTGGGACAGTACAAGCAAGTATTTCACAGTCAGTGGCACCAGGCAGTCATCACTATAGGGCTGTGGTCCTCTGGTCATTAGGAAACTGTGGGCGGGGTGAGTGTGTCCAACATGTAGACAGGTAAGGGCAGTCTCATGACGGCGGGCATCCAAGGATATTTCCACGGATAGATCTTTTTTGTAATCTCGAGCAACTTGTTGGCAACGGATAAATTGGCCAGGAGGTCCAGATGGCTGACCTGACTGCTGGGAAGAAATCTCTGTGAGGGAGGGAGCATGAAAAGAGGCAGCAGAGTTGGCCAGCTTGTCAGCTCTCTCATTACCTCATATAGACACATGGGCAGGAGCCCAACTGAAATCCACATTATGGCCCTGCTGACAGAGGACCACTAGGCAGTTAACACTCTTGGGTTTAGGGAGGTGGTTTACAGCAAGACACTCAGAGTCTGGCTGGTCACTAACCTCACCACACTAGACTGTACCACACGAGAGATAATTGTACTTAAGGAGTCATAGCAAACTTGCTATTTGAGATAAAAAGGTGGGATTTGTTGCATTATCATTGTAAATAAATTATCTACAAACAGTTTTATATGAGTAATCACAATAAAATAATTACTTTCATACATAAGCACGAGTAGTAAAAAAAAATTTTTTTACGCTTAATGAAAATGTTTATACAGTACATCCCTTTATACCTTCGTTATTTCATGTGATTGTAATATGAACTTTATTCCGTTATAAAGCAGACATGTTTAGCAAAATATAGGACAGATTATTAATTTTTTCCCTTCAAGCACAGAATTGTACTTGTTGAGTCATAGCAAGCTTACTACTGGAAATAACTATGTGAGGTTTGTTGCATTAGCATTGTAAATACATTATCTAAAAATATCTTATAAATGTAATCACAATAAAATTATCAATATGTAAGTACAAGTATAACACAAATTGTAGTGCATGGCTGCCACTCAGGTTCCCAAATGTGAATGTTCCTCCCTCAAAGTTTCTATATTTTTTACATAAATTATATTATTTCGAAATTCATATAAAATAATAATTATAAATTATTGATTAAATATAATGAATAAAAAATTACATATATTTTTTTTTAAATACAGTGGTCCCTCGGTTAACGAAATTTCAGTTAACGAATTACCTTCCATAAGAATATTCAATTCGGTTAGTGAACAAAAATTCGGTTAACGAAATTCTTACGAAAACATGTCAACATGTTTTCACTTGCTCACCAGCTGCTAGACTAGTCCGCCAATACAGTAATCGGTTCTAGGGCTTAAATTCGTTCCCATTTGAGTAAATATCAAGAATGTTGTGCTATTAAATATTTTTCCAAGTTTTATATTAAAATTATTAGTCATTTTAACACTTATTTAACATAATTGCAGTACAGGGAACTAGTTTTTGGTGCACCCATCAGCCACTTCACTCACCCACCAAGGCGTCAGTTTGTGTCTCTGTTCAGTGGAGGTAACATCTTGCTTGTGGCTCTCTTGAACATAAACTACAGTATTTTTACATTTTTACAGTACAATTATTGGTCATTCTGAAATTTATTAAACATATTGGCATTATATAGTGCAGTGCAGTGTTGATTTAAAATAATCTTGAATTACACCTAGTGAACTTAAAATTTTATTGGTGAAATATCAAGCATGGTTCCCTGAAAGGTGATTCTCTTCCACCCCCACTTCCTTCTCTTCTCCCTTCTCCTCCACCCCCATTTCTAATTCCCATCATCATCATCAACCAGGAGCCTTTTACATACACACCTCAAAGTAAGTGTACTTTACTGCATTTCTTTTTTTTTACTTTGTATGTACTTTTCGGTGAGCTGGAACCAATTACCCAATATCCCATTGAAACAATGGATTCAGTTAACTAAATTTTTTATTAAAGAACGACCTTCTGGAACGAATTGTGTTCGTTAACCGAGGGACCACTGTACAGAGGTTATTGCATAAATAAATGCAGCTCCATGCAATATACGTACAGTAGTTTAGACTCTTGGGAAAACTTTCACCAGTATAAGGTAGAAAATTCTATTTTTGGCTCTGACGCAGCTCCATTCACACCTTTTTAACTTAATTAGAATTGATTTTATAGATTCTTGTCGAAATATTTTGTTTAAGGGGAGAGTCTGGCTTAGATAGATGAAAAACAGGTCAATTCAATAAAATAAAATATAAATAATTAAAATATGAAAAAATTCCAGAGCAAAGGTGTTGCCTATGGCCATATCTGGATGGAGTTTTATGGCAATATTAGTAATATTTATGCAGTTATGTATGGCTTCCCCCCTCCCCATGACCCCAACCTTCCTACGCCCCCTTGGGTAGACATATGAATGATTGCGGAAAAATATTTTCCCCAAAAAATATAGAAAAAATAGCACAAAAAGAACTTTAAAAATTAATTTCAGGCAACACTCTTCCTCTCTGGCGAGTATAGGGAGGGGTAGACAAACAGTCACGTGTCATCAGAAGGTCCCGGACCTTGCCAAGATGAGGGGTGTACTCTGCTGCACCACACATATTACCTCACTTGCACTGCTGTACCAAGCTTCTCTCCTCAAATATCAGGATGGCATGCGACTCAAAACATATAAAAGCAACTAAAGGAAGCACATGCCAAGAGCAGTGCTAAATCCAAGAGGATGAAAGAAGAAAATATTCGCTAAAACTAACGACAGTAACAGCCATCTCAGAGGATACCTGAGGCAGCCCAGCCCCAGCCTTCCACCCCTCCCCTCTACCTCACATAAAGAATATAACAGGAGTTCAGTTGGAGATATAAAAATACACAAAAAAGCAAGATATTACATGTAAAATCGGCTCAGAATGAGCACTTACACAGGGAAGAAAGGTCGAGAATCTTTATTGGCCTGTATCTCAAACAACTTTTCCAACACTCAGATTGACAGTTCTCTGCCAGTTTTTTACCAATTTCAATGAAACAAACACTCACCAGAGGAAGAACCTTTCCTCAACATAACTACAGATTCCATATTTTTCTATCTTGTCAGATTTATTTTTGGTTGAATATTTAATCTCGATAATTTGACGAAAATTTCAACCAAAATTGAAAAATTTTTATCCTTAAAACCAAAGACAAAAGCATACATATCGCCCGGTAACATTCAATGACAATACTAGATCTCTTAGTACTATAAATTTCAAGGCAAAATAGAAAGAAGTAATGGAGATATTATACCTTGAAAATTTAGGAAAATGTCAGAATATGTGTAAAGGGTTGAAATTTTTTAAAGGGTAGAAGGGAGTCATGGGGCTAGAATTGATGTACATATGATCCTTGATTGATGACAGGAATATCATAACAAATGATCAAAAACCGGACTCTCCCCTTAAGCATTTTTTATTGAACCAAATTCATCTCTCTAACATAATTAGAACAGATGTTGTGATTAAAATTTATATACTTTTTCGTTCGTGCCCGCAGCCCAAATATAATGGGAGAGTGTTCGTCCTTGCAAGATGTAATGATGAGATGTGTAGTTTAGAGTAGAGATGAGGTGCATAGCTTAGATTCTCTTAAGACTCTCAGAAAAATTTCCCTGGCACCCAGAAACATTACAGGGAAGTGCAATAGTGTCTATCCGTGGGAGATGCACCCTATTACCGTAGCCAGAACTCTCCAACACTGGAAATTGAAATCAACTCAAATTTTTCAGGAAAAACTATCTCCATTCTGGGTCTATGAATGAGTTTCTGAAGTTGAAAATCAGGCTCATTTTCTGAGAAAATTCCAGAAAATCTCCCCCAATTTTTTCCAAGTCTGGTAACTAATTCTGAGGTTGAAAATCAGGCTCATTTTTTGGAAAATTACAAGAAAACTTCATGAAACTATAATTTTTTTTCCGGGTCTGGGAGCAAATTCAGAGGACGAAATAATGTATAATTATGTATAATTCCGAGAAACTTTTCCCAGTACCCAGAACAATTCTGGGGATGTGGGATTTTTCCGGATTTGAGAGAATAGTCTCGTTACCCAGAAATCTCTCATCTCAGGAAGAGCTCTACACTAATTATTCCAGCTAACGGGGATATCACTGTAATACACTGCTTAACATCTACAGTATTAGCAATCCAACAAACAGATATAAATATAAAATGACATTTCAAAGCATAAGAAAATAAAACCTTTACTGTACTGTACTTATAATCACTTTGAATTTCTCTCATTATAGCCAAAATACAAACTGTACTTAATGTGAGGCTTGCTGCTGGTGTCTAGCAATAATACTGTCAATGTGCAGGGAGGTTTTTGATAAGCAGACACGCATGTCATCTTCAAAGTTTAATTGACCTGTATTTAGTTTTCAGTGCTGTTATGGCTGAAAAGCCAGCCTCACATAGGTAGGTGATGCTGAATGGTATTAACAGCTTGATTGCAGCATCATGACATACCTGGAACTCATCGCCACATTGAGCCCAGAATGTTTCCAGTGGCATTTCATTGAAACAACAGAGGCAAAACTGCTTGATGAAATTATAGAGCTCAAAAGCACTACGTAGCACTGACTGAAAATCACTCTCTTAAATAAGTGTTCACTTTTACCTGACAGTGCTTTAAGATAACCTGACAGTGATGTGACATTAGCTGACTGTATTGTACTAAGATTACCTGACTTTGCTCTGAGGTTTGGGTCTGCACCATACTGTAGCAGCAGTCTCACCACAGGCAGGTTTCCTACCATCACTGCCTTCTGGAGGGCTGTCCGACCATCATAACCTAAATTACAGACAATTATACAGTACAGGGTAAATAAAAAAAATTTAAGGACACAAAATTGGAAGACTATCTCAGCATATCCTTTACAACTAAATGCACAATATTTACACCAAAAAATTCATCATATGTGCTATGAAAAATATCATGTTAGCAGAGGTCACCCTGAATATTTAAGCCTCTCTCTGTCCATGTAATCACCAGTTGCCTCTGAAGATGTCTTGAATAAAGACGAAAGCTAAGGTGCTCCGTTGTTTCCCTTTTCCCGTGTGATTTTATCGACACACACACACACACACAGAGTATAGTCTCGATTTACACGGATTTCGTTTATGCGTTTGGTCATTTAAGCGGCACCTTGCCAGACCGACAATTTTTATTTACGTCGGTATTTTCCATCATTTACGCGGGAAGCGGCGCGGGCAGGGTGCGCACAAGGTCGCCCAGTCAACAAAACATTACCAGTTCTTCACCCGCCACCCATCACAGCCAGCCTAAGTCAGTGATAGTGAGGATATGGACTTTAAGGGGTTTGACAAAGAGGCCCTGCAAGCCTCTGTGGTGGATAGTGATACAGGTGATAAAAGTGATACAGGTGAGGGCCAATAATCTGCCCTCTGCCTCAGAACCAACCCCCCATCCCCAACCACGACAATGATAATAACAACCACGACTATGATTATAACACCCACGACCATGAATATAATAACTATGATCATGCTCATAACCACGACCATGATTATGACAACCACGACCATGATTATAACAACCACGACCACGATTATGACAACCACGACCATGATTATAACAACCACGACTATGATTATGACAACCACGACCATGATTATAACAACCACGACTATGATTATAACATAATGATTATAAGCCAATAATAACTACAGTGGAGTCTGCATTTACGCGGTCAATTGAACCCGTGGAGACTGGAGGACCGCGTAAAACGAGAAACGCGTAAATGAAATAACAGAACATGGGATTCATTGAAATAGAGATTGGGCTGACCCCCAAACTCCACTTTTTCCGACACAATACCTACGTTGTAGTAAAAATAACATCTTAATTTTAAGATGGTATGTACACACAATTAATATTTAAGAGAAATACAGTCGCCCGTTAATGTCGGTTCAAATAATGGACTCAACTCCCCCCCCACCCTCCTCTTCCCATGCTCGCTGGCTACTCCCTCTCTGAGAAATGTATGGGTGAAAACAGTAGGCTTACATTTTTTGTATTGAATAATATCTCAGACTAAAGTTAGGATAATATAATTGACATTGCTGGATTCCTTGCAAGACAAGGAATATTTTGAATATAAACGTCATATATTTTGCACAGACGATAAAATTTTTGCTCTTTCTAATCAAAATTCTTAAATTAGATCTAAAATTTGTATGTCTAATGCAAATTTTATGATGTTTATATTTAAAATAATCACAATCTTATAAGAATTCCAGCAATGTAAATTATATTCTGGCCGGGTAATTTGTATGAATTTTATGATCCAAAACAAATATCTTCAGTAAATACAGTAAACAAATTATATTTCACCAGCGTAAATGACCAAATTTACCGCGTAAGTAGAGCATTTTGATTCTGGCAAGGCACCGCGTAAATGACCAAACGCGTTAACCAAAACCGCGTAAATCCAGACTCCACTGTACTTTATTGTGCAAGTTTAATTAGCCGATGAAATTTACGACTAAAATTACCTTTTATTTAATTTTTCATATATTAATCAGGCAACTGGCTTACTGAGTGAGTGTGGTGGTTGTTTAAGTGACAATGTACTTGTCTTCAGCTGAGTTTGAGGTGTAAGTTATATGATGATTGTCTGGTGATACTGTAAGCTTATTTGTACATTTAATAACATTGTGGGTGCTAATAACAGTGAAATAAGCACTGTAAACACTGGTAGTAAAACAAAATGCATTAATTCAGCATTTTTAATTACAGGCAGTCCCCAGGTTAAACTTAAAAATTTACAGTATTTTATTTACCTGAGGACTTATTTTTTACCTTCATTTACTGCATTTTGCCATTCTACTTCTTATTTTCTCTTAAATTAAGTGATTTTAGATGTATATAAGGACTTAGGCTATGATATAATGAGATTTTAAACATTGTTCTGTCAGTACGGTATGCACATAGTATGTGTTTCGACTTAAGTACATTTTCAACTCAAGAACGTCCCCAAGAACGGAACTCGTTTGTAACTCGGGGACTGCCTGTACAGTAGGACTGCCTGTACAGTATTATGAAAAAATGTGAAAATGGCCACCAAAAATTTTAACTTCAGGAATTTTTTCATAAATCAAAGCATGGGACAAAAAAAAGTAACTTTGAATTTCTGTATATTAAGGACTACTGTATCTGTACCAGCAACAGAAGGCTGATGGTGTTCCTGTGGGTGATGGGGAACTTACAAAATCTAAGGTTATGAACAAATAAAAATTAAAATTAAAATTTTTTAAACACATCACCCCCTACCTGTTGAATCAACTACTGTGGGGTTTTGTTTGATGGTTGTTTCCAGGGAAGGAGATGGTAAGGAGAGGGCTAAGTCAGCAAAATTGTTAAGGACACTGGCTGTCATGGCAGCCATCCTGTACACCGACACTCCTGAAAATATGGTAAACAGTATATTTTTATTCACACTTGATAAGCAGATTTATGTTTTTTCACTCTTGCAAACCTTATCTCATGTCTCAAGTTATACAAACTTTTGGATTACTAAAAAATTAGCCCTAACTCTTTTTCACCTTATGACCAAACACTACCTATACCCTCTCCACCTGGCCCATAAGCCATGCCCCTCTTCTGTAAAAATAGCGGATTGGTTCACAGAAAATGTTCGTGTAGCTGTCCATTTATTCAAACTAAATATGTTCACAATTGGTAAGCAGACCTGTTATTCTCTAAAATAATGTTAAATAACTGGACTATCAAAATGCAAAACATAAAGCATCAGAAACAAATGATACCAAACATATAACACAATAGGTAATGAACTACAGTTTGTATGGCTGTATATATCCCAAACCATTTATATAACTGATAAAACTCAATATAAATACGCACAGGTGTGGGTGATTAGAGAGATGGAGTGGAAATGAGTGTTGACAAGCACTCCTCAACAGCTGATATTTAAAAAACACACACACACACACACACACACACACACACACACACACACACACACGTACGTCAGTGAGAACAACTCAACAGTAACAGTCGTACCCAAGTTAACCTTCACACAGTAAGGTCCCAGGTACCCAGTGATAACGGCCCGTGATAACCAGCGATGTGTTAATCCGTCTACGATAGGAAGGCCTGGGACCAAACCTCACTCATATAACACCATCTGTGAGGGAATTACTACACCACATGTCCCTCATAACACCATATGTGAGGGAATTACTACACCACGTCAAGTCCCTCATCACACCATCTGTGAGGGAATTACTACACCACGTGAAGACCCTCATAACACCATCTGTGAAGGAATTACTACACCACGTGAGGCCCCTCATAACACCATCTGTGAGGGAATTCATTACACCACGCCAGGTCCTCATAACACCATCTGTGAGGGAATTACCACACCACGCCAGGTCCCCAACACCATTTCTCCCAGGGGAGGGAATTACTACACCACGCCGAGACCCCTCATAACACCATCTGTGAGGTAATTACACCACGTGAGGCCCCTCATAACACCATCTGCAAGGGAATTACTACACCACGCCAGGTCCCTCATAACACCATCTGAGGGAACTACTACACCACGTGAGTTCCTCCTAACACCATCTGGGAGGGAGTTACTACACTACGAGTTTGCTGTTCAACACCTACATTAATCTGTATGTTCACTGTATGTTCCTTTACCTTTCTCTAATGAAGGCTTTTGTTAAACCACCAATGTATGTAATAGTCATTTATGTCCAATGTATATTTTCAGCCTTTGGGCTGCAGAATTTTTTCAATAAACCGTTAATTATTAAAAAAACACACACACACACACACACACACACACACACACACACACACACACACACACACACACACACACACACACACACACACACACACACACACACACACACACACACACACACACACACACACACACACACACACACACACACACACACACACACACACACACACACACACACACACACACACACACACACACACACACACACACACACACACACACACACACACACACACACCACACACACACACACACACACACACACACACACACACACACACACACACACACACACACACACACACACACACACACACACACACACACACACACACACACACACACAACACACACACACACACACACACACACACACACACACACACACACACACAACACACACACACACACACACACACACACACACACACACACACACACACACACACACACACACACACACACACACACACACACACACACACACACACACACACACACACACACACACACACACACACACACACACACACACACACACACACACACACACACACACACACACACACACACACACACACACACACACACACACACACACACACACACACACACACACACACACACACACACACACACACACACACACACACACACACACACACACACACACACACACACACACACACACACACACACACACACACACACACACACACACACACACACACACACACACACACACACACACACACACACACACACACACACACACACACACACACACACACACACACACACACACACACACACACACACACACACACACACACACACACACACACACACACACACACACACACACACACACACACACACACACACACACACACACACACACACACACACACACACACACACACACACACACACACACACACACACCACCCACACACACACCACCCACACACACACACAAGACCTATAGTTGCTTCCTGAACACTTGTGATGAAGGTTGAGTGGGAGATTATTGGGTCATGTTACTAACCTGACCGGATGCAATATCAGGTCATCCAGTGTTGGGATGGGGATATGACATTATTTTTTACCTATGAGGTGTATACATAGAACTATACTGTATTGTATATGAAGGGTACATGTATTAATAAGCACAGATTATTACAGTAACGTATCTGTACTAATTAATGAAAACAAATAAACACTATCGCATCATGAAGTCGACAAAAAGTGAGACGACCGCGGCATGGTCACTTTGACCCCCACGGAGGATAGATTAACGCTTATAAAGTGTCATTGACTAACTTAGGAGAATATATCTTGTAATGCTAGAGTTCTTGTAAGATAGCGATTAATTTGAGGATAAACATCTCTTATTTTGCACCCCACACAAACACAGAGAGAGAGAGAGAGAGAGAGAGAGAGAGAGAGAGAGAGAGAGAGAGAGAGAGAGAGAGAGAGAGAGACAGGGAGAGGAGACAGGGGAGGCAGACAGGAGAGACAGGAGAGAGGAGACAGAGAGGAGACAGAGAGAGAGAGAGAGTCGCCTTTACCCCCAATGGACCCTTCTCCCTCTGGCTGGGGGGAGGCAAAGGGGTTTTAATTTTTTTCTTATAAAATGCCATTGACTTGACTTCGGAGAATATGACTTAAATTGCCGAAATTCTTGTAAGATAGTGATTAATTTGAATACAACTATGCTATAGTTTGCACTACACAAATTTTTTAGTAAATTTACGCGGAGACCAGCTGGAGACGTCCAGACCGCCACGCCATTTTTTACCCACGTGGTCCATTCTTGACCATACGCGGGAAGCAGCGCTGTGAGTGGTGCGCATTAGGCCGCTCTTACGTTATCGCTGACGTCCTATGACGTATCGGACTGTGATTGGGCCACACATCCTTACCACCCACGCATTCCCTCCGCCGCTAGCTGTGATTGGCCTAATGTAACATGACGTGCCCTGCCACCAGAGGGTATAAGTCGCTGACCTAGCCGGGCCTGTCTCATTGTTCTCAGTCCGCGTATACAGTTCTCTCTTGTGCCCGCTATTCCCCTCACAACTCACAATGGCTGCCACGGGACCCCCACCACCAGAAAAAAACATTGAATTACCTGAACCAAGCCATGATAATGTGAAGGAAATCATCGAATTGGGGGAGAAAATTAAGCTCATCCCTGACAACGACCCAGACAAGCATCGGTATGAAGCGTCTAATAACCATCTGTCGAAAGTTATGGAGCCGTATATCCAGATCTATCTCGACAACATCAATGCTAGTCGTCAACGTAGTATTGAGGACTTCCTCGCCCGCAACCCACCACAACCACAGCCAGCCCAAGTCAGTGATAGTGAGATTAACAGTGAGGATATGGACTTTAAGGGGTTTGTCTGGGAGGCCCTGCAAACCTCTGTGAGAAGTGAAAGTGATTCACCGGAGGGCAACTAATCTGCCCTCTGCCTCGGAACCAGCCGCCATCCACGTGTGTATATATGTATATATGTATATATGGTTTTTTTTATACAGGGATCAGCCCACCCGGGCACAGGTCACTGACCCACATTGGGGCCTGGGGGCTAAAATATAATGTTAATAATAATAATAATAATAATAATAATAATAATAATAATAATAATAATAATAATAATAATGTTAATAATAATAATAATAATAATAATAATAATAATAATTCATAGGTCTAGGTTGTGTTTCTCACTTTTGATCTTTTTTCATTACTGTATTTCTTTAATATTATTGTTATTATTATTATTTTATTACAGTATTATTGTTATTATTATTATTGTTACTATTATTATTGTTATCATTCTTATTTTATTTTTGTGTTTTATTAAAAATTTTATTTACTATGAATAATTATTATTATTACTGTATAATCATTATTATTATTATTACTATTACATATATACTGTATGTATATATATCCACTTGTAGTGGATAAGGAACAGTGGCGGCTCATCGGTAGGCACTGTGGAACTGCAGCACCCCCTATTTCACCCGATATATATGTATTAGATAATATAATATATCATATATGTATATTTATTTATACATGTATAAGATATTTAAAACTATTATCAATAATCCTTAAACTTAATGTCAATGGCCATCCTCTAATTCCAAGAAAACAACAAAAATCCCTGTATGTGGAACTGTCTTATTCGACAGTTCCAATAACGGGCGTTTGCTTTGTCTCACGTATGCGCTCATGTCCTGGAGGCAAGCGGGGGTGAGAACTGCGCATTAGCACCACACAGGATGATGCGTATGATTCATACTCATAGAGACTACATTTTGTATTCATTGTTTTTTCCAGAAACGTTATTGTGTAGAAGAATTTGACAATTCCTATGACTACATCAGAGTCTGAATGCTGCTTTTCAACATTAAAAAGAATAAAAACTTTTCTGAGGAGCACTATGAATCAGGAAAGGCTAAATGCACTTGCAATGATTTCAACGGAGAAAAATTTCTTTAACAGTCATCCAAACATCAATGAGAAAGTTGTTGACCTTTTCGCTCAAAAGAAAACAAGAAGAATGGATTTTATTTTTAAATAAATTTGGCTCAAGCTAGACTGGAGTATTTTATCTGTAAGTGTTAAATGTTTTTTTTAATATTTTTACCATACTTTTAGTATTTTCATATTTTTATCATTATATATATATATACTTATACCTACTGTATTTCTGTGTGTCTTACACAATATTAAAACAATTCTTAAAAATGTTTTGAAGCAGCTCCCCCACGAATTAGAGTCACGAGCTGCCACTGATAAGGAATGAAGGATGAGGGAAATTGCAGGGTAAAACACAATGAAAAACTGATCATATGACATTAAAATAATGTCTCTCCATGCACTGAATGATAAAAAGTTATTATTTGCCATTAATACGCCTCCTAAAAATCTGAGTCAGTGTGTGTTGTTGTCTGCTGTTTGTTTACAACTGACCCACTTGGTCCGAGTGTACTCTTATCTTCACAAAAAAATTTAAATTACACCACGATGCTTCAACAAAGTTGCTTTCATTGGCACCAGATAGTACTCTCTGTTTAATATGGTGGGGTGGGGGGTCCAGGGGGGTGAAATCCCCTGGCTAGAAAGTTAGGTAAGGTTAAGTAGGTTTCTTTGGTTGGTTAAGTCAGGTTCTATTTGGTTCTAGTTAATGTCGCTTCTTTTAAAGTATGGCTAATATGGAGGACTTCACAACCGTTCACCCCCCTACCCCCCCCCAGTAATAACAGTGTCTACGCAAGGCAGGTGTTAAGTTATGCCATAACTACAACAGTATCCCCTATAAAACACAGTCAAATTGTGGCATTTTAAAATTTGTTTTCAATGAAAAATCACCAGCTGTGAAGTCGTAAATAATTACCAAACACTTACTATAATGGGTATTTTTCCGTTTTAACACCCAAGTCACACACAACAATACTAATAGCCCTCCCAATTGCCTTATACAATTCTAAACAACTTTTCTTCTATAAACATCCGTCGGAAATAGGTTAAGTTAGGTGAGGTTATGAGAACGACAGCAAAGCAATCCAAATACAGTAGAAGTCCAAAAATCCGGACTGCTTGGGGATTTTCGGATTTTCCGGATTCTCAGGCAGTACTTTTAAAATTCAAATTTCAGGAGAAATAAAGAAGAGATGAACATGTACATTTTGATAGTTTATTCATTCGCAAATATAGCATGCTTCATTTATCAAAACGAGCAGTTTTAAAGATAAAGCTGTGAATTCTAAAATTTTATTCTTTGCCTTTTTTATATCATAAATTGTAGACTTTCCAATGTCGTATGTTTCCTTTAGAACAGTATTGCTCACACCACGTTCTAGTTTCTTAATTATTTAAGTTTGTCACTCAATTTCAACGTGTTCTTCTTTCTCTTCACACAACGAGCCCATTATTATGGGCTTGTACTGTACAGTATTCTGTAATGGAAAGAGTAGGACTCAAAATTACATACGTTGTCACAGTTCTATTGCTCGTTTTAAAGTGGTAACTGCGTGGTCGCTTGTTGTCGCTGTGCAGCTGTGGCGCTCACGCATGCACACATACACACAAAAGCCAGCTAAAAAAATTAAATAAAAATAATAAATAAATAAATAAAAGTTAAGTTTGAATTTTCGAAAAGTCCGGTTTCTCAGGTGGTCCGGATTTCTGGCATCCGGATTTTTGGACTTTTACTGTACATTGCTGTGCAATGTACAGTAAAAGCTGTCGTTATACTGTATTATACTGTAAAAAACAGAACAAACATTGCACACAAGAAAAAGAGTGGTAATGTATGAGAAAACGGGTCCGACTAATTACCCAAATGTAGCCGCAATGAAGTCAAATAATGGTCCTACATGAATAAATCGGACTGCCAATCACTTCTCGACTAGTATTTGGTGTCACAAAGAAAAAAAAATTGGAAAACGTAATTTAATCTGAGTTAATAGATCACGTGCATATACCGAAGGAGCGAGTAATTACCCAAATGTACCCAAATGTAGCCGCAATGAAGTCAAATAATGGTCCTACATGAATAAATCGGACTGCCAATCACTTCTCGACTGGTATTTGGTGTCACGGTCACAAAAAATTGGTAAACTTAATTTAATCTGAGTTAATAGATCGAGTGCATGTACCTAACCTAACCTCGACTAGTATTTGGTGTCACGAAGTGACAAAAAATTGGTAAACTTAATTTAATCTGAGTTAATAGATCAAGTGCATGTACCTAACCTAACCTAACACAACACAACTCGATTAAATTAAGTTTACCAATTTTTTGTGACTTTATGACACCAAATAATAATAGAGAAGTGATTCACAGCCCGATTTACGCTTGTACGACCATCATTTGACTTCATTGCGGCTACATTTGGGTAATTACTCGCTCCCTCGGTACATGCACGCGATCTCAAGTTTTTCCAATTTTTGTGACTGTGACCCAAATACTAATAGAAGTGATTAGTCCGGTTTTACATGTGTTATTGGGTAATTAGTCGGACCGAATGAACAGTGAGTGGGTGGGTCGGGAGCGGAGATTAGAGTTGGAAGAGCTGTGCCAACATTGTGAGAATGATTATTTTGCGTCAATTGCTGAGTTACACCAGAAAAATAGTAAGGCAATTTTTATTTTTTTTTATAAAACACGGTGTATTACCGAATGTAGTTCTTTGTCCAAAGTATAATAACCAGTGTACACTGCGTGAAGAACAACATATTTGGCTGTCACAATAGTTTTACAGATTAAGGTAAGATGTGAGGGCGTGAAGAATGGGGAGGGGAGGGGAGGTTAGGTTAGGTAGGTTGGTTAGTATTTTATTTATTTGATTGATTCAAAAAAGATAAAAATAATTTTTTTCCGTTATGATTGTTGCGTAGGGGGGGGAAATGGATATCAAATTCATTCGAAACTCATCAAAAACCATTGGAAAAACCTATTTTTAATATCAAATTAAAGACCGGTGTGATAATATAAACTGACCAAAACACCATAATACAAAAAAAATAAAAAAATTATTAAAACCTGAGGACAGCCAATGAACACACATTTATCACCACAACTGCTCCTGGTGGTAGCGGTTTTCTCACGGTCCGACTAATTACCCAAATGTAGCCGCAATGAAGTCAAATGATGGTCCTACAAGCGTAAATCGGGCTGTGAATCACTTCTCGATTATTATTTGGTGTCATAAAGTAACAAAAAATTGGTAAACTTAATTTAATCTGAGTTGTGTTGTGTTAGATTAGGTTAGGTATATGCACTCGATCTATTAACTCAGATTAAATTAAGTTTACCAATTTTTTGTGACTTCGTGACACCAAATACCAGTCGAGAAGTGATTGGCAATCCGATTTATTCATGTAGGACCATTATTTGACTTCATTGCGGCTACATTTGGGTAATTAGTCGGACCCTTTTCTCATACAGTACCTCTCTTTTTCTTGTGTGCAATGTTTGTTCTGTTCTTTACAGTATAACGACAGCAATGTATTTCAACACGAGTCACCAAGAAAATGTTCCACTACCGGTAGAGATCAGCGTTTTTAAAGCTGTGACAATATCTCCAGTAAATTGAACGTCTTTAGTGGCTAAGTGGATCACAAGATAACCAAGGTGGGCGGGCGTCCTGAAACCAATCTACACTGTACTTCTGCAGACAGTACCAGTTAGTGGCATGATTTCCTGAGTTAATATATACATTCACCACTAATCCCTGTTCCTAAGAATATGAAATCCTGCCCTCATTGACAGTATTCACCCAGAATTCAATATTTTCCTACTAACCTCTCCCGTGCCACAACAACCACGCCCAATAACCATTCCCATAATCAAAACAGAATCATATATAATACATTAATATACTTGTCACTTTGATGCAAAATATCAATCACTACCTCAAAACGACGTCAGTGTTGAAATATATGTACAAGTGACAGGTTCCTCAGTATAGTGTTAGGTGGGTTGGGTAGATCCTTTACTGTTCATATACTTTGATGCGGGTTTAAGACTCAGCATTAGCTTTTTACTTTACTTTTACTTATTAAAATATTCAATTTGAATGCCCTAATACTTCGAAGATACGTTGTGATGTGGTATATAAAGTTCATGTCATTCCAACGGAAATATCAAATTTAGTCAAGTCTCAAGTTAAAGAAGCTGTCAGCATACAGTTGTGAACTCTTGGAATAACCTGCCAATTGTGGCAGCACCAAGTGTGAACGGTATCATCAGACTTGACCAACACTGGCACATATTAAATAAGGTAGTGTACATACAAGAGCCCGTACAAGCCCACTTAGCTCAGTACTTGCCAGCGGCCCGACAGTGCTCATCAGACTCGAGTAACAGGCCGCCCGACCAACTTGTAATACGACTATTATACTGGTCGTTGAAGTAACGAAGAGGATAAATTACACAATATAGTACTCAAACATTTCAACTTTAGTTCATGAAAATTATAACCAAGAATTTCCAGACATCTAATACACTTACGAAAGTAATTCATAAGTAATACTTTTTTATACTTTTTACTTTAACATGAGACCAGTAAACAACTCGTCCACTGTTTGATATCCCATAACTTCTTATTGTTGGTGGACTAGTGTAATTACTAACCATAGTGTTGAAGAACAGTAATAACATTAACGGACACAGAAAACCGGGTAACTATTTATACAGTACACTATATGCTGGTGATGTTGATATATTTTGTAATCATTATCAAATCCATATGAAGATTTTTTCATATATCGAGTTAATTATGTCATAAATTCGTGATAAAATATCAGCATAAAAATGTTTTATCGCATCAGTAATAGGACGACCAATATTTAGTAGTTACTAAAGTGGGAAACTGTGTTGGTGATAACCTTTGTAACAAGACGAGTTGCTTATTCTCCTTTTCGAAATAACATTTCTAAGGCCATTAATAGATAAATAAACAAATATATATATAATATATATATATATATATATATATATATATATATATATATATATATATATATATATATATATATATATATATATGCAAATAAATCACTGTAGTTGCGCGTGATCCATGCAAATGCTGATAACCACATAGGAAACAAGAAAACAGGAAGTTCCCATTCCCAAGCGCGTTCGTGTAATTCACGACTTTAACTCGTCACACTGTCATCGGTGATGTCCAGTGGTTCTCAACGTGGGGCCAAGGCCCCCATAGGAGCCAATTCAAGAATTTAGGGGAGCCAAGGCGAGCTGTTATAAATCGTACGTTTCCAAATAATGTTGGGAATCTGAATTAAACAAAACTTGTACTGTATTACTTATTTTGACTTGGCAGAAGAGAATTTTCATTCTTTTTTGCCATTTTGTTTTATCATAATGACAATACAGTTTTAATATTTACATACTCTGGTGCTAATTTTTTTAAGGATTATTTAAGATTTCACAGGTCCAGTCCCTGTCTGTGTGACAGGCGCTGAACCGAGCTGCTGAACTGACTTGTTCAGTAAGTGTCCGTGTGTCATCCCTTTGCGAGTGATAGTGTAGCGTACTGTATGTGGCCAGTTGTCAACTATCTTAGTATGGGCACACAAACGTACGTACATGTAGATATCTCACACTTAGGAATGAGGTAGAATAGAAACTCACAATGCGCTTTTTGTATATATATATATTGTTGTATAGCGCAGTGCTTAGGAGTGACTAGGTGGAGAAGCTTGCTCAGAGGTCCTGTAGGGCGAGGAGGTTTCTGAGGAAGCTGGGTGGTGAGGAGCTGTGAGAGATGTTGCTGGTCCGGTAGCCGAGTGTAGAATGGTCTTCCGATGATGATGATAATGGAGATAAAATGGCAATGGCTTGCCATAGGAAGGGAGAGAAGAGGTAAGGTAGAAGGAAAGTTATGAAACGGGAAGTAAAGTAGTAGAGAATAAGAGCAGGTGGGCTATCCACCTAGCAGAGACGATTTGATTGGCTGTGGTGAAGGCCGCACTAAGAGGTCGCCTGAGCTCAAGGGAACAGGGGGGGAGGAGGCTAAGCTAGCTAGCAAGGGGTTGTTTGTTATTGTGTTAGTTGGAGAGGTCTACTAGGTCCTTGTGTAACTAGTAGAATACTCTCATCTTTTGTGTACTATTTAGTGTACAATAACACTAGCGTAGCTAGGGGGCGGCAGTCACTTGGCAGCCTTTTGGGTCTGCTCATCACCCATATCTGCAGCTACTGGAGACGTTAATCCATCCCTTTGTATCGGCGGCAAGTTAATCCTTGTCGTGTCTGACCTAACACCTGACCCACATCATCACGGCCACGTCATGAGCTACTACACCCTTGCTATGCGCCCCCCCCCGCCACACACACAACCTGTAACCTGTTGAGGATTAAGGAAACAACTTCAAACAAGTACGCCAGTGAGCTCATGTGGTGTGGGTCAGGTGTTAGGTCAGACACGACGAGGATTAACTTGCCGCCGATACAAAGGGAAGGATTAACGTCTCCAGTAGCTGCAAAACCATGCAGTCTCGGGTCATATCAGTTCATGTACAGCCGACCAATCCACCAGTTACAAGCAATTCACTTCAGTTCTGCACAAGTCTCCATCGTGACAAGACGAGGGGAGGCTAGACGACTTTTAAGTTCTCTTGTGTTTTCGATCCAGTTATTTACTTCGTTGGAAGACATAATACTATAAGGTAAGAAATATTAAAGTATTGGTTAAAAAATATTGATGTGACTTTTGCTGCGGTACTGAGATTAAATATTAAGATTTTGTTTCACAGCATTGCGATTTTATACTAAGACACTATCCTCACTGGGGTACAGACAAAAGCCCCCCGACAAAAGCCGCCCAGACAAAAGCCCCCCAGACGAAAGCCACCCAGACAAAAGCCCCCTACTTTGATCGGGGTGGCTTTTGTCTGACAACAGTAAGGGCTTTCAAAAGTTACGGACATAATTAAATAGTTGAGGGTAAAATATACTGTTCTTCTCTGTGGTTAATTATTGGTTAGGTTAGGGTTAGGTTAAGTTAGGTTAGGTTAGGGTTAGGGTTGTCAGACAAAAGCCACCCCGATCAAAGTAGGGGGCTTTTGTCTGGGTGGCTTTCGTCTGGGGGGCTTATGTCGTTTTTGTTTTTTGTTTAACTGTTACTTATAAAGTTTAAGTATGTTTGGTGTGTATTTAAAGCATACTATATTTGAGTATGTGAAAGTACAGCAATATGTATTTTTTGTGGGGGCACAGGGGGGGGGGGGCGAGGGCGGCACACACTCTAGCTACGCCACTGTACAATAGTTCTGGCTCTTGAGGGTTATGGAGAAGGCTTTTTGGCCACCAGCTGTGTGATCTTCTGGTGTCCTCTGTTTTTTGTCGATGGTATAATTCGTCTTCCATTACTTCTAGTTTGTACCATACTGCCTGTGCTTGGCTGTATGTTCTTATGTTCAGTGGTAAAATATTGTATTTTTCGTGAAGCTCTTTAATTTTGGTTGTGTATGGGGGACGTTGTTTGGAGGCTCTGCGGATGGCTTTGTTCTGTGTACCCTGAAGTTTTAATTGGTTGGTAAGGCTGATCGTGTTTAATGGTATTGGCGGGTATTCAAGATGGGGGCGGACAAGATGCTTTAAATAGGTGTAGTTGTATTTTCTCTTCCATTTTGCCGAATCTTCTTAATTTTGTAAGCTGTATTTGGGTTAGTCTATTGCGTTCTGTTATGTGTTTATTTATTCCGGTTCTTGTTATTGTTAGCCCCAGTATTTTTCCTTCGTTTGAGTATTGTATTTCTTCGTTGTTTACTGTGATTGGTGCTGGGTTTATCCTTGAAATGTGTATGATTTTTAGTTTCTGTGTATTAGTTTTTATTTTCCATTTCTTCTCGTAATTATTTATTTGTATTATGGCGCGAGCTGTTTTTAATGCCATCATCTGTTTGGCCTTGCCTGGATGGCGGATGATCTGGGATGACATCATCAGCATATGCGATGTATTCACCGTGAATTGGTGGCGGCATGTCTGAAGTGTAGATTGTGTAAAGAGTTGGGGATAAGTTACTTCCTTGTGGTACTCCACTATAAAGTCTGAAGCGTAGCGAGAGGGCCAATCACAGCGGCTTAAGCGTAAGGTGTGAAACGCTCTAATCCTGAGCTGGAGGTTGAAGGTCGAGACTAGGTCGGCGATCGTACCCCTACGTCCACTGCATAGACCTAGTCTCTCGGCGTAGCTGGCTGTACTAACCCTCTCTCATCATGA